TGCAACCCTGACATGATGATTTTCAGAAGGATTAAAAACTTGAACTTAGTTCTCATCACAAGCAGCAGCGCACCTCACGTCACTTAGGGAAGCTGTCTACACAATCCCACAACCTGTCAGATTAACTAGATGCAAGAGTCAGCAATCCTCAGGCAACATGGCAGCTTTCGCTGACCTCCCTTTAACAGACAGCAGCAGATAAAAACTCTGAGGATGGCAGGCAATCCTTAAGCGGAAATGGGTTTCCTAAATCAGAATTAAAAGACGACTAATTTGATCCTCCCTCGAAACGGAGGCCTTGTCCTGTTCACAGTCCGCTGTGAGAGGATTTCCAGACTTCCCTCCAGTCCTCCTTCGGTCCTAGAGCCCAAAGCCAGGCCCTGTGTGCCGAGCCCTCCTGGGTTCCCATGGGCCTGCTCTCAGCAGGGAACCACGGGTGTGCGTCACGGAGGAGGGCAGTCGGCCCACGGCGCCAGGAGCCAGGACCAAGCGGCAGAAGTAAGATTATCTGAGCTAGGAGTGCAGAGTTCGCTGGGAATCCCAGCTCTCTGGAGGCTGAGGCAGGAGGAATGCAAGTTTAAGCCCAACCAGCACAATTTAGCAACATCCTGCATCATAAATGAATAAATACACTAATCAATCAGTACGCTGGGGCCAGTGCTCAGTGTGAAGGCAGGCTTCAACCCCCGGTGCTTGCAAAGAAAAAGCCCCAGCTGGAGGGAGGGCAGCCTGCAGCGCCTGTGTGGCAGTGCCATCCCTGCTTGGGCGCTGGGCCGCGAGGTCCTCGCTGCTTCTGAGTCTGTGGCTGCCCGTCGGGAGACACAGCACATTTGAACAGTCTAGTTATAAAAACAAAACAGAAACCTGCAAACTCCAGCACGACCCCGCAGCCAGCCAGCCACAGTGACAGTGGAGGCTGGGGACATTGCTCGGTGCGCAGCACCCTCCTCTGCCCAGGGCCTTGGGGACAATGCTGGTGCTGTGAAAAGCTGAGGGTGGGTCCCTGCACATCTTCCCGGTCCTGGGAACGGAACCCAGGGCCTTCAGGCTGGCTTACACCCCCAGCGCCCCTGCCTTTTGGAGAAAGGGTCTTGCTGTGCAGTTCGGGCTGGCCTTCAACTCACTGTGCAGCCCAGGCTGGCCTTGAACTCACAGTATGCCTCCTGCCTCAGCTTCCCAGGTGCTGGGATTATGAGCATGTGCCACGATGGCCAGCTCTACCGTTTTAAAATTTATTTACTTCTTAAGACAGAGCCCTACTAAGGCACTAAGTTCCCCAGGCTGGGCTCCAACATGTGCTCCCCTGCCCTGGGCTCTCAGCGCTGGGATGACAGCTGCACCCCTCTGCGCCTGGCTCACATGTACTCTTAACTCCCTGGTACCCAACCTTGCCTCTATTTTTTTTTTTTTTTGGGCAGAACTGGGGATTGAACTCAGGCCCTTGCGCTTGCCAGGGAAACGCTTATTCTACTGAGCCACCTCCCGGCCCCACCAACCTTGCCTCTAAAGGAGCAACAGCACGTGCCCTCGCTACTGGAAGTGCCCTGTCCAGGCC